TTATATGAATCCCGAAGTCGTTTTTTTTAGTAAACCTCATAGATTCCCTATGGGATTGAGGTCCGGGCTCTGCGCAGGTCAATCCAGAACAGAGAATTTTTTAGTACTGAGCCAAGTTTTTGCACTTTTAGCAGTGTGCTTAGGGTCTCGGTCATGCATGAAAATTACATTTTCTTCTTCAAAAGGCATATTTTCAACAGTCTCTATGAGATGATCATGTAAAATATCCTTGTACATGTACTGATTCATGATGCCATTAATTCGTTGCAGCGATCCAACATCAAATGCTGTTAGGCACCCTCAAAACATTAGGGATCCGCCTCCATGCTTTATCGTTTGCTTTACATGTCGTGCTTTAAGCCTTTCATTTTTACGAATTCAGCACCAAGACATGCCATCTGAATAAATTCTGTTAATTTTGGTCTCGTCTGACCAAATAACCCGTTCCTATTCAATAGTTGTCCTTTTTTGGTATTTTTTGGAAAATTCCAAACGAAGTTTAATATTCTTCTTCGATAACATTAGCTTCTCTTTTATTTTAAGGCTTCTAAACTCAGCTCCTTTGCGGGTTCTCCGTACTGTCCATTTGCTTGTTTGTACATTCGTATCTTCTTTTAATAATTTTGCAGCCATAGTGGCATTTGAAGCTTCACCAGATGTGACAAATCGTATAATTCTTTGTTCATCCTGCAGTGATAATTTTTCTGGTCTCTTCCTCCAACATTTAATAATATACTTTTACAGTATTTTATTCTTATTCTCTGCACTGTCGATTGACTAATACTACACTTTCTCGCCGTCTGGCGCATTGACACGCCGTCATTCAAAAGAGAAATTACTTTTTTTAAACAATGTGATGCAATTGACTTCTTATTTATTCTTACTTCACTTGTGTGCTTTTCCGTTCGATTAATTGTGAGAAACTGAGTGCTAAGACGTGTAATAACATTTTGTAAACATACGAAACTGCTTGATATAAACTCACTGTTAGAACATTCCACGTAAACATTCCTTTTATGGACCGGTGCAAAACCGAGTCAATCTATTTTTATTGTCATTGCTGAACGAGGAGATATTAATTATTGAAAAAATTTCTTGTGTTACTTCTGGTTATTATAAAAATGACTATAATGTTTATTTTTTAAAATTCTCCTATCTTCTTAGCAATAAATAATGATTTATACACAACTTATAATTATTGGTTCAGTTATGCTCCTTACTGTGTATATATTATATATATACAGGATGTCTCGGAATTCTCCCGCCAAATTGCGAGAGCTTAATCTAGGAGTCAAAAGAAAAAAATAATTTTCTATAAAGTTTGCGAATTAACGCATTGTTACGAAGATATGAACGGTATTTCAGTCATTCCTTTTCTTTGCACTAGCTTGTAAACAAAAATGGACAATTTGGGAAGAGGAGATACGATTATCAGAGCCTTGCGGCTCGTTTTTATAGTTGTCGACAATCAACATTGTCCATTTTTCTTCGCAAACTGAGGGATAATTGGAGAGGATTTACTGTAGTGCTCACATCATGTGACCAAATGAATGGTCTATTAATGACTTAAAGTGTATTGCCAGTCAATCTCGACCATTATCTAAATTGAATTATGTTCACCTATAATAGATTGCTGAAACATCATACTGTTCAACGGTCTGCCAACGTTAGCTGACCAATTAAAGTCCCTGGTTGCTGACCATTGATTTGGAAAATGAACCGGGTGCGCTTTAAAAGTGAACCATCGTGTGATGCACAACGGTATATGCGTGTTAGTAAATCTCGTCGTGAAACTGTACACGATGGTATCAATTTTAAAGTAGGTATTTCCATTTGAATGTCAATTTTTAACAGAATTCTTTTTTGCAAATTGATTTAACGAATCCGTGTTACTACTACTCGTAAACTTTCAATTTAAAACACATTTCTAAAAAGAATGATAAAAAAGTAGCAAAATATGTTGAACTGATTAAAACTTGACATATGTGATTACCAAATTCTGGCATAAAGAAATTCATTATTATATTTTTAATAATTGCATAATGGCTAGGAGGATTACTGCAATAAATATTGTCTTAAATATTTATAATCACTGAATATTTTTAATACAAGATTTTAGATGTTTGTGATAATTCGTACTTTCTATTTTAATATAGAATAATGATATTAATAAAAAGCGTTGAACGAGAGAAATATAGCAATTCTACCAGTAATGTTAAAAATAGAGAGTCTTCAATATTAGTTCCACAAACTAGGAATACATTAAGATAAAGTTTCCGGTTGAATGAGGTTCAATAATATATTGTAAAATTTGTGATACAAACAATTTTTTAACAATGAAATTTTC